TTCTATTAAAATTTAATTTTTTTTTTTTTTTTTTTGTTTTTCCGCTGCTTCATTGTTACTCTCATGGGATAGGTTTTACTCTACAGCGAAATGCAATTGTTACTCCTCTGTGTCTTGCAACTATATTTGTTTAAGCTATTTACAAACATTAAAAAAAGAAAAAAATAAATAAAAAAAGAGTCTTATGTGTCAGGCACTTTATCCAAACTGTGCTGTGTGCTCTGGAGTTTGTTCCTTGTTCTTTGCAATGACTCATGCAGGGGAAGTTATCAGGAAATTTAACTCCAGCCTGTCAACAGGTTTTAAAAAAAAAAAAAAAAAAAATTAATCTCTATTTGTTCATCCTTTACTGGTCATGACTGTGTTGTATTTCTGCAGCTTTCTGTTTCTTCAATAAATTATTTTCTAGTCATTCACCCTGGCATGTGTGTGTGTCCCACGGTGATGCTCGTGGGTCAGTCCCCTCCTGATGCAGCTTCGCTGGCAGGAGGAGGCTGCTTCGGCGGAGCAGCCCCATTTTAACCATCTCAACTCCTCTCCCTAGGCCTGGCCTCAGAGCATCAGGGGGCAGATTTGGGGATCATGCCCAGGCAGCTGGGAAAGGTTTCTCCCCCCCCAGTTTTTCACCTGGGAGTTGCAGGGATGAGAGCTTTCCCAGAGGAAGGCTCAGATACTTTTATTTCTTGGCACCATCCAGCACCCTTCTGGCCAGAGCCCAAAGAAAACACTTTAATTCGCACAAACTCAGTGCAGATGAGGCCAAAGCACGTGTTAAACAAACCCATCGAGTCGCGTGCGCTGCAGGCAGGTCCAAGCTCCCATGGCTGATTTAATTATTTATCTTTTTACCCAAATATCTTGTCCTACCCTGCATTTTGCCATGGCACAAGTACTGGCAGGTGGCAAAGAGCTGGTGGCCCCCACGGAGGGACCACGGGACCTTTCTGTGCAGCTTTCTCCCTTGGTGGCATAGCAGAGATTTACAGGAGAGGAGAGAAAAGCTAAAGTCCTTTTAATTAAAAGATAAGAACAATAAAAAGGGTGATCCAGTCACCAGTCAGTTGTTCACCCACAGCTTCTCTAGCAGCCGCTGCTGATGTCCCCAAAGCACGGCTCTGCAGGACGTGTGCTCCCATGCCCATCATGGTGCACATCACCCCAATATTTTGCCCTCTCCCTCCCCCCAAAAAAACCTCCTACTTTTCAGGGCTTTGCAGCAAACAGCCCGGGGCCACAAACTGTCCCCAAAGATGGGGATATCAGTCCTGTGGGAGGGGGACATGGCTGCTGCGGAGACGGGGCATGGCACGTAACGGACACCACCGCCCTGTGCACCTCGTGCAGGGATGGCAAAGGCAAGGAGGTGGAGATGGTGGGCAGTGAGGAGGAGAGCTGCAAGAAGATGGGTTGGTTTGGCTGGAGAAGAAAAACAATCTTACATAGGTCTTCCTCCAAAAAATGGGGGGCATTTAAAATTATGGGTTTGATCCATTGGGTCGATGCATGTGAAAGCCGCGGGTGCCGGACGTAGCCCTGCATGGGGAGGGCAGTGGCTCTGCCCTGTGCTCCCTACAGCAGCCACGGGAAAACGAGACGAGGGTCTTCGTGCAGCCGCTGCAGCTCAGCCCCCCCGGCATGGGAGGGAGTGAGCAGGGGTGAGGGTCTGCACCCACCACCCAGCCCCACCGCTGGTCCCGCATCACGGCATTTTATTAATTCCGAGGTGGAATAATGAGCCTGGGGCAGTAGAGTTGCTGTTTGTGGATCCAGCCTGGTGCAGGATCAGCCTCGGGTAGGATGAAGCCCCGGCTCCGAGGGGGCTCAGCAGAGGGAAGGGGGCTGGGGTGCCAGCCAGGGAGTCGTGGGGCGAGGGGCCGAGCGTGGCAGCAGAGGTTGGCGTTTTCATGGCTTTACAGGTTTCCGCAAAGTCCATGCACACACTGCGTGGGGGAGATGGAGCTGTTGGTGGGACACGTCCCAGGGCTCAGCACCCGGAGCAGCAGCCCCCCAGGCTGGGTCAGCCCCTCTGCAGTCATGGGGGTTGCCCATGCTTCAAAACCATTTAAATAAGATTAAAAAAATGCCCATAAAAGGAGGGACCCAGCCAGTTCTGTGTCTTGACGGTAACTCCCCTGTCCCAACACGGTGGGAAGTTGATGCTGGCCAGGGCAGCTATGCCAAGGGGCTGGGGTGGGTGGACAAAGCTGGGGTCACCTCTGGGTGCAGGACACCGGGGATGGTGCTGCGGGTGGCCCTGGCACGCAGGCTATCCCCACGGGTGATGAGGCCAGCGTAGCCCTCCTGGTGGGAGAAGGCATAGCTGGAACGGCGGTGGAAGGAGCGGCGAGGGACATGGGCACGCAGCTCCACCGAGGGCTCCGGCTCCCGCTTGGCCTTCAAGCGAATCTTCTGCAAGGAGATGGGGAGATCAGGGTTGTGGCCACCTCCCAGGCAAGCCCTCACCCCAAGAGGGGACACGCAAGGAGTGCAGGGATGCCCTCCACCGGGACACGGTTTGGCTCCCAGCTCCACCATGACCTGAGTTGCTATGATGGGATGTGTAACGTGGGGACCCTCCCGAGGGGGCGGGGGTCTTCAAAGCTCCCAGAGCTCTGAAGCACAATCTCAACCTCTGCTCTCATCTGGGACCTCTTTGTACCACCAGGAAGGTATAACCCAAATCCCAGATGGGGATGAGTTCTACCAAGGCTGGGGGTGGTACCAAGACCTGCAGCAGACCCCAGTGCCTCCCAAGTGGCAGGTCCGGGGAGTAGTGGAGGTCAGTTCCTTACTGTGGCCAAAAGCAGACCCTCTCCAAGAGCTGGAGCAGGTCTCTTGCCCCAGGGCCTCCTGTTGGGCTATGAACCAATTTGGGTGGAGGGCCCAGAGCCAGACTTGGGCACCAGTGTCATGACAGACCACCACCAGGAGTGCCATGCCACCAAGGAGAGGTGACATGTCCCACCACTATGGTCCAGGCAGTGGCTTCCCTAGGGAACCTCCCCCTACCCATCACCAGCAGCACCCTGGCCAGCCCTGAAGGGCAGACCCCTCCCCATGCCAGCCCCCACGCAGCCCTCACTTGCTGGATGGTGGTTTTGCCCATGATGGTGCGGTACAAGTGGACGGTGAGCGAGGGGATGGTGTTCACCACTAGTGACAGCAGGACCACCAGCAGGATGTAGGGGTCGGTCAGGGCATTTCGGCTGGCATCTGTCAATGCAAGAGGTCGGTGGGTGATGTTTAAGTAGGGAAGGTGGAGAGGACAGAGAGAACAACTGTTGGGCGACAGGCTCCCACCCATGAAGGTGCTGAGGGTTCTAAAGAGGAGATGGCAACTCAATTGGAGTCAAAAATCAAGATGGCAAGATCGAGAAGTGGTGATGAAGAGATGATCTACAAGGTGGGAAACAACTCGTAGCACCAAGCCTAGGCTGGGCTCCCGTGGCTGGGGAAGGGAAGGACCATGGGGATCCCCAGGGCATCTCACCTGGGAAGCAGAAGATGGCAGGGGCTGTCCTGAAGGCATCAATGCTTTGGGTCAGGAAGGAGAAGAGGCAGAAGAGCAGCAGGCTGGCTGTGACCATTAGGAAGGACAATGCTGTCCAGAACTTGGTGTCCAGGATGATCTGCAGGGACAAGGGCAGAGCAAACAGCCTTTCATGGAGGTTGCGGGGACTCTCTTCCATTTGGCCACTTGTCCTGATTTCCTCCCCTTCCCGAAGGGAGATCATCGCCCAGCCATGAAGCTGCTGGAGATGGTGTCAGAGAGCCCAGGGCTGCAGTCCCTAAACATCTGCCGTGGGGCCAGGATGGGGCAGGGCAGATCGGTGCTCACCTCCACAAGGACCGACAGCAATGCTGAGGTGGCCACTGTGACGGCAAAGGACTCGTAGTCACCGACAGCCTTGCTGCCGACGCGGTCTTCAAAGGCCCAGAGCGCGATGTAGAAGCTGGCAAGTGAGGTGCTGACCCCGTGCAGGAGGGTGACACCGAAAACACGGTAGTTGAAGAGCTCGTCTTGCTGCCCGATCACGTAGAGCTCAGGGAACTCCAGGCTCTTCTTGGCACTCACATCCTGCCGGGAGGGCACCAGGCATCATCCTTCCTACCCACACTGGGGAGCAGGATTGGGCCACCCCACCCAAGACACCTTGCAGGAGAGCTGCCGTGAGTCCCTCCACCTGCTTGCTGTGGGGTGATGGGGAACAGAGGCATCCCAGGACCAGTGGTGAGCTCCAAATGCCCATCAAGCTGCTTGGTACCATGTCCCAGCACAAAGACCCATGCAGACGGGGTGCAACGACTGCCGGGCTGATTCACACCCACCGAGGATGCAGCCTCCAGGCACAGGGGCTGGATGCAGCCCGGTGAACCCATACCTGCTCCAGAAGGCCCACGGACAGCACGGGATAGGCGGTGTAGAAGATGTTGTAGAGTGCAAGGAACCAGCCTTCATACAGAGGCTAGAAGGGAGAAGAATGCAGCTGTGAGCTCAGTGGTACCTTGGAGAGACACAGAAAGGATGCCCAGGCACCAGGGTTGAGTCGAAGAGACTCACATCCAAACTCTGGGGAAATCCCCATGCACTTGCCCCAGGCTCTGCATCAGCCCCACGTTGTCTGCAGCGATCGGTGAGGCTGTGCTGCAGATGGAGATGGAGGGGCTGGAGCCACACAGTGGTGGTCAAGTCACACCGATGGCCCTTGGCATAAAAGCTCCCATTTTGGAGGAAACGAGCTTAATGCACCTGGGATCTTTCCCTGCTTCTGTCTGAGACTGAGCTGTAGCTCACAAGGACATCCCACATCTTCCCAGGGTGCTTTTCCCAACTCAGCCAGATAAAAAAAAAGCAGATCAGCAGTTGCATCTCAGCCAGCCAGCCCCAAAAAGTCGGACAGCCTAATACCAGGGCAAGGGATAAAGGAGACCAGGGCGGTGATGTGGACATGTGCCCATCAGGCAGTACCAGGCATGAGACCTACATAGCATCCTCAACGTGGAGGGGTTGAAACAGCGGTGTGCAGACCTCCGTGGGATGGATGTGACCCCTCCCAACGGTTGCATCCCTCACCTGAGCCGTGAATCCGCTGTGGAAAGCGAACCAGACCTGGGCCATGAGGCCAGCAAAGGTTTTGTAGAAGAAGTAGCGGAGGAACTTGCAGATGCGGAGATATGCCCAGCGGCCGTGGACGAGCAGGAGGCGCTGGAGGTAGGAGAACTGTGCCAGGGCGTAGTCGCTGCACTGCACAGCTTGCATGCCCTCCAGCCCGCTGATGCCCACCCCGATGTCAGCGGCTGCGAAAGACGGGAGGGTGTGAAACGCAGGTGGGGAGGTTTTTGAGGAGGTGGGTGCTTGATTTCCTTGTGGATTACCCCCAGGCTGATAGGCAGAGGGTGAATCCAGGAGTGACGGGCAAAGGGAAGAAGCCTTCTCTATGACATGCCATGGCTGTGGGAGTGACACACCAAGCCTGGTTGGGCATGCGAGGAGCACAACCCCATGTCAGGGCTGCCGGAGAGGGGCAGGGACATCTCTGCCAGCTGCCCAGGTTGGGGCTTGCAGTTTCATCAAGGTTCATCCCTGCTGCTAAAACAAGTGGTCCGCCCCGCTCTTGTCCCAGGCTGATCCCGGTCCTGTGCCTCTCGCTCCCCTCTTGGCACAGCAACGTGGGGAACTGGTTTGGGGGTTCCCCTCCCCACTCCTCACCTCAAAAGAGAGGGTGAGGTGGTGGAGATAGCAGATGGGGCACCACCAGCGGGACGCACTGGCCGAAACCCACACTCCCCTCAACCCAAGCCTCACTTTTGATCATGTTGACATCGTTGGCCCCATCCCCAATGGCCAGCGTGATGGCCTTCTTGTGCTTCTTCACCAGCTGCACGATGAGGGCTTTCTGCTTGGGGGTCACCCTGCAGCAGATCACCGCCTGGCAGCTGG